GTTCAGTCTAGTCTGCTTACAGCCACTAATCTGTCTGTCTCCCCCAGAGCGGTCCGGTACCAGTACCAGAACCTCCTGCCAGACGCCGCCGGTTTAAAATAAACATTTTAAAACCTTTTTCTGAGTCTGCTTGTCCAAGCCACCCCAATTTGTGACAGTAATGTGCTCCTCTTGGAGAAAGGTAAAGCGTTCAAGCACAATTATAGAAGTGACGCCTGTGTGAAGGGACACTTATACTTAAGTCAGAGTCAGAGATTCTTTATTGTCATTCGCACCTCATGTGGTACATGTGGTGGAGCGAAATTATGGACACAGGGTCCCAGTTACATCCAACAATAAAATGTATAAGAAAAACAGTCGCTGGTGCCCATGTCCAGCAATCACTGTGCGAGGGGCAGAGTACACCCTGGACAGGTCGCAAGTCCATCACAGGGACACTTAAGAGACAAATGAGACAAACAACCATTCACTCTCTCACTCACACCTAGGGACAATTTAGAGTTACCAATCAGCCTAACATGCATGTTTTTGGTCTGTGGGAGGAAACCGGAGTACCAGGAGAAAACCCACGCATGCTCGGAGAGAACATGCAAACTCCACCCAGAAAGGCCCCTGGACCGGGGTTTGAACCAGGGACCTGTTCGCTGAGAGGCAGCAGCTCTACCAGTTGCGCCACCGTGCTGCCCACAATTAACACATTTTTTTTTATCTTGCAGCAGTCTCAGCTATATGCATACAGCTCAAAAACTTAAATTTGTTTCCTCTAACTACAGACATTATTATCTTATTTGAATAAGACGGTTTTAACCCTTTAACTTAATTTATTTATTCATGTTCCTCATGGGGCAAATCAACCACCTTACTTGCTTAAAAATACTAGTTTAAAATATTACCTCCACAAAAAACTGCTCAATTTTTTTAGAGTTGTCAGCCTGAAATAAATATATAAAATTTTATTTTAATGCTTTAAGGGTTTTTGTTTGTCTAGCTTTGCAACAGCAGCTGCGCCAACATCTCCACCTCTCCCTGCGCCGACATCGTGTGCAACCGGACTGCTGTGCTGATCTATCATTGGCTTATAAATTGTCTTTTATGTATGTGAATGTTTCTGTAAAGTGCCCTGAGACAACTTTGTTGTGATTTGGTGCTATATAAATAAAATGAACTGAATTGAACTGAATATATTTGGGCTACATGAACTGGATCGAAACTGGGCCTGAGGTGAACCAATCCTACCGGCTTGTGAACATCCAATGCCCTGCGGTTCTGTGCTCCTTGTGTCCCCTGATGTGCATGATTCTGTAACATACCATCCATTCTGGATATTCTGGATGGTCAGTCCATGTTGCTGCATCTGAACTTGTTTGTCCATGCCAAATTCACTGCTACTGTGTTCTAAATAACCACATCTTTATAACCACATCTCATAATAACATGATGACCAAGAACTACAATATAAACTCCAACAATTATACTACTGCCACAAAGAACTCTCAGAAATGTCTGATTGTAATGCTTTTATTGCTGGCTGGTATTCAACCCAATCCTGTCCCTCTCACCTCATGTAGTACTCCAAAAGATCTTAAAAACCATGTCAGGTTTACATGTTGCTCATAGCCTCCTTCCTAAAATAAATATGGTGAGGATTGGGGCTTCTTCTGCCGGTGCTGATATTATTGTTATATCTGAGTCTTGGTTAACTAAATCTATTCCGGACAAACATGTTTCAAGTAAAGGTTTCAATATTTATAGTTCAGATTGTCCCATAAAAGGAGGAGATGTAACAATATACGTCAGATCTAGCTAACACAACTGGTAATTACAAAATCAGCACCTAAACAATTTGAAATCTTGACCCTAAACAATGAATTGTCTGTTGGTTAATCGTTATCTGTTGTTGGTTGCTATAGGCCCCCTACCACCACATCTGAAAGCCTGTTGTTTTTAATGCAGCTCTTATTTAATTTGCATCCTAATTAAATGGTTTTGGTAGGTGATTTTAATTTAGATTGGCTCTCTTCTGTGTCTGAGGAATTAAAATAATTTTGTTTTTCTTTAAAACTCTGTCAGATCATTGATAGTCCCACTCGGCCTAATCTAAAGTACTCTGCCAAATCATCTCTCCTGGATCTTTTAATCACAAATATGCCACATAAATACATTGGGTTTGGTGTTTATAGAAATGATCTAAGTGACTATTGTGTAATTGCTGCTGTTAAAAATACAAAAATGCCTTGTTTTAAACTAAAACGTTTATAAATCGGAAAATGAAGCGTCTTTATGAACAAGCCTTTCTTTGGGATCTGTTCCACTTTGACTGGCATTGCATATCATTAATTGATGATGTGAACCTTACTTGGAACTATTGTTATAATAGTTCAATTCATTTTGTAAATAAACACGCTCCACTTCACCAGTTCAGAGTAAAGGGTCAGGATAGCCCCTGGTTTACTTCTGAACTAGCTGACCTCTTGCACAGGAGGGACCAGCTTTGGGCAACAGTAAGAAAGACTGGTTTGGACATTCAGTGGTTGAAATTTCTTCAGTTACGGAATTGTTGTATGGCTTCCATTAAAGCAGCAAAACAAAACTACTATTTATCTCAGACCACCAAAAATCCAAACGATCCTAAGAGCTTCTGGAAAACTATTAAATCTCTAGATAGCAGCACTCACTCATCTGACCTGCCACCACAATTACAATATTTACAATTTTATATAAATAATGTAGGTCTAAACATTCCTGACACATCCTAGAATCTCTATGCTGATGACACTGTTGTTTATTGCCGAGCTAACACAGCTGCCAAGGTTTTCCAGATTCTACAGTCTGCATTTGAAATCATTCAGTCAGACTTATTCCATCTCAAGCTGGTGCTAAATGCTGACAAAACTAAAGGGATGTTGTTTTCCAACAGAAAATCGGTGCCAGCACCTTTTCCTCCTATCTCATCCCTGCATGGTGTTCCTATTGAGTTTGTAGATTCTTACAAATACTTGAGATTTTTGGTCGGTGCACATCTCTCTTTTAAACCACATTTCAAAAACTTGATAAAGCAACTGAAATTAAAACTGGTTTTCTTTTTCAGAAATAGATCTTGCTTAACTCTGAATGCCAGAAAACGCCTTGCAAATGCTACTTTCCCACCGGCCATTGACTATGGTGACAATATTTAAATGAATACCCCTGCCAGCTCCTTGCAGATGTTGGATGCTTTCTACTATGGTGCGCCAAGATTCATAACTGGTTGTAACTACCGTACCCATCACTGCACTCCTTGGTCAGTTGGTCATCATTATCTACATGTTGGCTCTCACACTGGTTCCTTTCCATCTATAGACCTATCTCTAATCTAACTTTCATCTCAAAAATTCTAGAGAAAATAGTTGCAGGTCAGTTGCGTGATCATCTGAAAAGAAATCATCTGTTTTGAAGAGTTTCAGTCAGGGTTTAGAGCTCACCACAGCTGAGAAACAGCACTGCTGAAAGTTAGTAATGATATTCTCATGCCCTCGGACAATGGACTTGTGTCCACACTGAACTCAGTGCTACATTTGATCCAGATGATCAGAATAGGAAACAAAAAGGGAACGCTGCAGGTAATGATGGCGTGGGAGCGCATGTTGTAACTACACTGACGGTGTGACATGTGGGAGGAGATTTAAGAAGGTAGCAGCCCAATGAGTGATTTATAGATGGTTAGGATTCCTGAGTCAAGGAATGTTTTTTAAGTAAAGGTTTAATTACGGAAATCTTAAAATGCTGTGGTATGTAACCATTCATTAGAGACAAATTAAGCAGATCCAAGATGTGGTTATTAATTAAGGGAAATACCTCTTTAAACAGTCTGGTTGGGATGGGATCTAGCAGACATGTGGATGGTTTGGATGAGGTTATTATTTTTGACAATTCAGAGCTCAACAAGACAAAAACTGTCCAAACATAAATCAGGTTCTATTGTCATTTTTAAAGTTGTCTCATCTGACACAGAACCCAAGGCAATACTAGAAAGGCTGGTTTTAATTTTTCCCTAATGGAAATAATTGTATATCTCATCAACTCATCACTACTTATAGTTGTAGGGATACATAGTTAAACATAGGATTTTTCATTAGACTAGCTATGGTACTGAAAAGGAACCTGGGGTTATTTTTATTCTCATCAATTAAAGATGAATAATATAAAGTCAGTGTTGGTCAGTCTTTAGCATCTTCCATGTGTTTCCTGTGCCATCTCTTACCCATCCTCAGTAATTTATTCAGTGCTTTCTCTTCATCAACCTGCCACTCTCATCTGTACCCAGTCTGTAATTAGTTCAGGTGTCTCTAATACCTCATCAGCAAGCTGTAAATATTCAGTCTCTTTCCATATTTACCCCAGTAGTGCATTATTGGCCTTCATGCCAAAAGCACCATTCTCCTATTTGTTTTTTGTGTTTATTCTCATTGCGCCCCTCATATTTGTTTTTTGGTATAATAAACTTTACATTTTAGTTTCCTTTTCTGAATCTGCATTCTGGGTTTGGACCTACTACTTACTGTGATGCCAGCTGCCTCTTCTCACTTTCTCTGTTTATTTCTTCTTCTAATGTACCACAATATTTTGTTTTTCAGTTTTTTGTCTCCTCAGTGTCTTTCTCTCCTTTATTTTCCCAAGTTGTTGTGCTTCTAGCTGCATGAAAACAAATGTGTAATTAATATGTGCCTCTGGGGCAAACAGTCACACATCCCAACCCCTGTAGCTAGCCCACAGGCTCAGAGACAAGACAAAAGTGAAGTGAAGGCTGTAACTCAAACACTTCACAGTCCCAACTGCAAAACTATGCCTTGCTCTGTCAACATGATGGAGCCGTAAGCCGAATTTACTTTGACAGGTTGCTTGGTGAGAATCCTCTTGGTGTGTTGTGTGCAGCAGATGATTTCCACAGACACTTACTTTTCCATGTGATGTAACGAGCGCTAACTTAAAGGAGTAAGGTAAAAATGTGCACTTTCGGTCACCTGCAGCGATGGAGGCCAGGCGAACGTAGTCAAAGCCCTTTTCTTCTTGTTCATAGGGGTAACTTTCAACCAAGCTGAGCCCTGCCAACATAGAAGGGAAAAATATACTTCATAAATAACACACACAAACTTAAAAAAGATAAACACAACAAAAAATAAAATCACATGTTCTGCAAATGCAATGTGAATGATGACTGCTAAAATTAGCAAAGCCATAGTTAAATGTTAAAGCCAGTAAAATAGAAGCTAAAAGCCAAACTTAGTAGAAAAAAAATAAAATTAGCACAATAGTAGCTGAAAGCTAAAAATAGCACAGCAGTGACTAAACTATTTGTAAATTAGTAGATAAAATCTCAAATGAGCAAAAAGCTTAACTTTCAATTCCATAACAAAAAGTTGAAATTAACTCAACAGTAGCTAAAATTTAAATTTGACAGAAAAGCTTACATTTTAAATCCCCATTCATTTGTACAAATTCAAAAAGTTGAATATATATATATATATATATATATAT